ATAGAGTGTATTATTCGGGTCATAAATAGGATCTCAATATAATAAATAAATTTTCTCTATAAATATGGCGTTACTCCGAAGAAGAGTTTTTGTCTTGAGTGCGAGAAAGCGAGACGAAGAAGCTAGTAAATATGTCACAATGGATCATAATAGAGCTGAGATTCCAGAAATACCAAAAAAACAAAATGAGAATAATCAGCCCAGAATTTATTTACATTTTGAAAGTCTCACAACCTTAAAAGCTACATGCTGTCATAGAGTTCTTGCATTACTTACATCAAATACAAGCATAGTGTATTTTGTATTATTAACTGTGGTTGTACCGCAGCACATGCATGGTAGGCTGTCTAAAAAGCATTCACAATGGCCTATCGAACCTTACTAAATGTTTACAATATTATACCTGAGATATTTGGCATTTATTGATCAAATCACTGTGTCCACATGTGATCTTATAATGTAAATAATCTTACAGTTTGTACTATCTAAATTTACATTTCTCTAAGATAAGTAGCAAGGGACTTGCCTGTCCTCAGGTGTGATTCATACGCCTCTAACCATAGCAGACCTTTCATGAACACTTGGTACAGCGTAAACTCATCCGTCCATTTTTGTGGACGAAAGTGGCATATTTTCACGAGCCCATTTTTTGTTCCGTATGTATGATCCATTGAAGATGCAGAACCGTTCAATAAACTTCCATCATATCGTTTAAGTGTTTGTGGTGAAGCAACGGTCAGTTCAGGACATGAGTTGGGGTAGTCACCTGGAAGATATGTCCTTAATGTATAATGATGATCATTGCTTGTAGTCATCTTGACTTCGACACTCGTGTCACTTGTTGGGTTATTCCAGCTTACTTTATCTTTAAAGTAAGATTCCAGGATTTCTTTCTCCATGGCTAGTCTTTTCCTCTGTGTTTCTGACCAAGGCATGATGCTCTAGGTATGCAACTTACATCAGTATCCTAAGCCTTGTTTTTGCGCATGCGTTTATTGTTCCGAGAAGGCAACTCTTGCTTGAGTATCTTGAATCTCACTGGAGTTATATTGTCTTTTAAATTCAGAACTATTGGTCGACTGCCTTGTAAGTAATATTATTCGCTCAGCGCTGAATGTGGGGGAATTTTTTTTCAATTTTAGCTAAATACGCTGAGTCATGTTAAAAATGAAAGTGAAAGTAATTTGATTAAAGAGGAAATAAGAATCCCTGGTACCCAGGTATAACCTCAAGTGATCGTGCTTCTAGGGATTGGACGCGTTAATCGAGCTAAACTCATTTTATTTTCTTCTTCTTTTTAGAACATCACTTTGAAAGAAGCATCCTAGTGGACCTAAAGAGGAATTGGCGTATCTATTTGCCTGATATATATATAATCTAAAGTGACACATATATACCGCTATATATATAGGGAAGCAAATATCAAGAAAATTACACTTCTACATAGATCTTAAGTACGCCGCACCAAAGTTTCGTCGATAGAAAAAACTCAGTAGACCAACGAAGAAATCAACAAACATTAACTATGGAAAACAATCAGTTTCCACCAGATTCTGGACGAAGTTTGAAAGTTGCGTACATTAGAAGAAATGATGAGAGAGAAGATGATATTAGATCAAATGAAGAAGATCTTGATTCATTGAGTAGACTACTGTCTTATGAGTCACGCGGCTCGACAGCAAATCAAGAGGAACTTGTCTTTGACATTCAGACCGGTAAACTCACTGTGTCTAATAAAAATAACACTCATGAAACGGGGAACAGGAATCCAGTAATGACCAAAATGGCTGCACAGGGATATTTCTAGCCAGCTTCAGCTTCTACTTAGTCTTAGAATAGAATTGTCAAAGAGAACTGAAGAAAAAACAGTGACCTAAATCATTAGTTTTGGACTTATATACATGTGTCTTTAGGCTTATATAAGACTGATATATTCTGTTAGATAACATTCGTCTGTATTTGATTGCAAACAAACCTGTATATTCAAAAAACCGGGCCAGAGATTACATAATGGTTGTGAGACTTTTCTTCTCTCATAAAAACGAATCACCTCCAGTTTATCTCTTTATTCTTTCCGTCATTTTAGGAAATAATTTTCATGTAATTAATCAGTTTAGAAATTAAATTTGCACATAATATGATACGCTTCCGAGATTCAAGACTTTTATTAAAAAAAGTACCTCATTGAAGATTTTAATAATGTGCTGCAAATTTCAAAGAATTCTGTTAGATAGGGGACCATTTCAGATTTTAGTGATGCATTTCCTATTTACAAGAATTTTATTTTCGAGAATACGAAAGTGACACATTGCATATTTGTAATGATGCGTTTCCTATTTCCAAGAATTTGATTTTCGAGAATACGAAAGTGCCACATTGCAGATTGTAATGATTCGTGTTTCCTCTATTTCCAAGAATTCAGCCCAGGACATCATTTGAACCTTGCAACACTGTCAACTCTGAATCTTGAATTTTCACTGTTTGCATGACTTCTAGCCATGTCTTCGACTCGTATTCAAGAAATAAAACGTTATTTAGGAGAAAACGATGATTTTATTCTCTACATGTTCAAAGAAGACTTGGAGATGATCGAGAGCTGGGCTAAAGAACCGTCTTGTCATGGCAAGCCGCGACCAAGCGGAGAATTGTTTGGCCTTTGGACCAATACTCAGAATCCTGTTGTTCATATTGTTATCAATGATAGTAATTCCCAGTCTGAAAATCCAATAGAGAATCCACTTTTCAGTTTTATTGGTTATTGGTCTTCTGAACGACTTAGAGAAGACGTTTGTTCAGATATTAAATCTAAGCAGAACACACGCATTGTTTTCGTGTCAGTTGAAGAGTTTCAACAAGACAACTTCGCCTATCGTTCACTCCTTTTCGTAAACGAAGGACAAAAGCGCACAGGAAGAATTGAGCCTTTGCAAGGTAAAAACCCATTTAAGTTGTCAAACATTCCACCCAATGAAGAAGAAAATGCGAGGAGAGAACGAGGAGAGAAGGCTGAGGGAAAAGTGTCATCACTGCGTAATATATTTGAGGCTAAAGCCAAGGTACAAATAAGTCCGAGTTCCACAGCTAGATGTAATCCACAAGAAATGACAAGTTATGCATCTGTTGCCAAACAAGCCAACCTAGGCAATTGGTCAAAAGTACCTGATCAGACTTCAACTAACACCACCTTCTTTTCCTCTAACTGTAAAACATCTCCAAGTACACAAGAAAGACTCAAAGAAAAAGAAAGCGAAAATGTGTCGGATTATAGCTGCACGAATCAGTGGTACGAAATACAACCAGAAACCTTAAGAAAAACCTTGGATTTTGTGAGATCCTTGGCTGATGACCAGAACACAGTTAACATATCGAGGGATAGGACAACACTCGACACGACCATGACATTTACACATCATAACAATGAATGGTCGATTGACTTTCCCGCTGACTTTCCAGTGGGATCTGTGAAGCTAAAGAAGAAGTTTAGGCCTTTTGATGACACTTATCCCGTAGAAGGGAGAGGGAAAATTGATAGATTCAAGGCTGAGTTGAAACTTATATTGCAAGGCCAGTGTGAGCAATGTAATAATTATAATACCAGGTACAATCATAGCAACAGATACTACTAAAATAGTAGCGTTAAAAGATTGTAGCGAACTGAGAAGGAAAACTTTATTTGGCTTTCTACTTAGGACTATTTCAATTTTTTTTCAATAGTTTTAGGTCTTTTGATGATACTCAGTATGCCGTAGAAGGGAGAGGGGATATTGATAGTTTCAAGAATGAACTGCGATCTATATTGCAAGGCCATTGTGTACGATGTAAATACCGCCATCACTAAGCTATTATATAATAGCAATGGATACTACTTAAATACCAGAAGATCGTAGCGAAAGAATATTTGTTGTACGTAGTTTGAGCTATAGAAGAAGTGTGGCTGGGATAGGGCCTACAGTAGTCTCACTCCATAAGAACTACTTAGGTTACATTGATAGTTTCAAAAATGCCCCATAATTATAACTGATTGAGAAAATAAGAATCACTATTGCTTACTGGGTGAACTGAAACCAAATTCATAGAAAATTCCGTGAATACTTTATCTATGATTTAAAACTCTTGGATACGCGAAGCACAGAAACGAGTTATTGTGAGGGGTCTGAATGTGCAAATGTGTCACTTGCTCTCTAAGATGTTAGCAGATCGATACATTTTTATCAATCATCTTACGTCATCTGCTTACGAACGTTGCGCGAAACTTCTTATCCAATAAAGGGTGGACGAGGTATTTATACAAGAAGCTGGAATGTTGTCTAGCACCAGGGCAGGCTAGCACTGAGCATGCTCACACTCAAAAATATCTTTACCTTTGGATTATTTATATCAAAAGAATCAAGAAAAGATCGATGTATGTGTTGCATCAGAGATTACATAAAATAAGAAATAGGCTCCTAAACTAGATAGGAATACTATAAATGAACATAACTGAGAAGCATAAAAAGGAATGTTTAAATTTCTTTAATGAGAATGAACTAAAAATAATTCTTTTGCGGCATTCAAGATAATTCTAATGATTCATGTAGAAAAATCAGAGAGAAAAAAACAAAACAACAAAAACGAAATCCATCAGTCTTATCAAACAGACTTAAATGAAGACAAGTCGAATAAAATTTCTAAACGAATTTTCATAGAATATCCCGGCGCTTATTTCACATTGTAAGCCAAGTAAATAGTTTCTCAGACGCGACATGCAGCGCTCTTGTCAGCGGGAGGAACACAGGGAACCCAATTCTTAAAGAGTGAATTAGGATTCAGAGGAGGGTATCCACGAGTTTGCCATGCGGCAGTTTGATTGATCGCTGTGATACGTTATAGAATCCTTCAAAAGAAAAGGGTAAAGACAAACAAACGCTTACGATATTTTTTCGTATTTTTAAATATTACTAAATATTTTTGAAATCAGTGTAACTACAACATCGAAATGGCAAGGGGTTTTACAGTCAAACATGCAATAGCCGGACTCATTTCCTAGAACTGAAACACCAAGTTACGGTATCAAAAGAATACTAAAAAAAATATTGTTCACTTTGCGATTCTCATATCAATTCTCAAAAATTATCTTCCAGCTATTATAAATTAATTAAAAAGATTATAATATTTATTAACAAGTAAAAAGTTGATAAAAAACTTGATATTTGAATTCGAAACAATCTTTCTTACAGAGGTCACTCAATTGCGTTATGGAAAAAATCTATAGTGCACGCCATAAACCGTAAAACAAAACCATAGATGTGTTGTCTAGTTGCAGCTAATTTTATGCTATTTTCAGTTGTACAAAATAGTGGACATTACTGGAGAAAAAATTGGGAACGAAAGCAACTACCTCTACACGTCTTTGTAAGATTCATGCCTCGACTGCTATGCACTTAAAAATAGATATGCAGTCACCATCAAAGAATGCGTAAATCAGCACAAAACAACGGTTTCCGATCCATGCACTTTTCTTGGAATTACAAGCGCTTGTCACACATGTGCCATCTGTCTCTGGTCTTCTCTCGTCAGTTCTTTACCGCTTCATACTGCATTACACTTTGAAACTATCAAGAAATGTCGACTAGTAGAGGGAATCATTTTGTCCTCTACATGTTCCAGCAAGATTTAGATAACATGAAGAATTGGGTCCTACAGTATCCCAATCGGGAAACTGGAGGCGACTTGTTTGGATTGTGGTCCGGTGAAGGAGACAACGCTGTTATTCATGTTGTTCTTGGTCCTGGTCGAGACTGTACTCATGGAGATTATAATTTCTACCAAGATGTAGACTACCTGGACAAAGTAGGCAGCCTTCTAACTGAAAACTACATGCTTGGGCACATCGGTGAATGGCACTCGCATCATCAGCTGCAGCTTGATAGACCCAGCGAAGGAGACTGTTGGACAATTCAGAAAAATTTTCCGGACGGTTCATGCGGCTTCTTCCTAATGATTGCTAATATTATCGATCGAGATAATGTTATCTTTTCCCCATACATTTTCAAAGGTAAATCAGGGCCCTGTAGAGCTGGTTATGTAGAACCAATAGATAAAAAGGGTCCTTTCTACCGTATGCGCGATATTTCTCAAAAATTAGAAGATGGAAAGGAAATAAATGTGGTTGAACCAAGAAAAGAATTAGAGACAGTGGTGGGTAAACAAAAATCCACTCTGGTTGGCATAAAGGACAGCATAAAGGACACTGTGACCAGTTTTATTTCTCCAAACAATTCAAGTCCAGATACAAGTTCGAGGGGTACATACACAACTTCTTCTGGAGTCATGCCAGTGAAGCCCATGCTTTACACAGCTGTTTCCAGTGGACCTCAAACTGAAAAGAGAGTCGTGAAGTAATTGAAATTATTTACTATGAGTTGAGGCAACGTGTAGGAGAAATAGAATTAGCTTATGATGAAAACAGTACGAAGAACTTGAACATGACATTTGGTTATTATAATCAAGAAGTTTCATTAGGTTTTACTCATACGTTTCCATTGCGTCCAGCTACAATTATGGTGAATAAGAAATTACTGGACTATATTTTCTTGAAGAAATGCTTCACTGTTCAATCATTCGACTAAAACAAATTTTTAGAAGTAGCCTTCACATTATTAAACAGATCGGCTGAACGTAGTTTATGGAAGCAATCAATTTGTCTCAACGTAGTAACTAAATGAAATCCCTTTCAGAATGAATAAAAGATAAATAAAACAATAGATAGTGGTTGTGGTGTTATTAGAATTAGTTTATTTTCTTGATCAATTTGCATTGGGTGATCGGAGATCGATATATGACCAGCAGAAGTGATTCTCATTGCATAGGTTGGGCAAACCTAAAATTCTATAAATCCTACATGATTTCTTAGAAATCTAATATTGATACGCATGGGCGCTTGTTGGACTACACACCCACGGTGACCTTTGATAACCAAAGACATTTCGGGGAAACACCTTGTTTTGAAACACTTTTCTAAGAAATGAAGCACGATTGAACATGAAAGAGATGATACATGTATATGTTTTAATGCCGAACTAGATAAAAATTTGTCTGTTGTATATATTGTGAAATGTGAAAGCCTGATAAAAGCCATGCATTTCATTTGTAAGTAATGAAGATAATAAATACATCTGTTTCAGAAAGCGTTTTTTTGTTTGACAAATTGCATCTGAGACACGTATGAAATAAGCAAAAAAAAAAAAAGCACTTTAAGCATTTTTCACTTATTTCTTGGAAATCATGTGACCTTGTATTTTAAGCAATAGCTATAAGCCATTCATTTCCTTCAAAGATTCATTTTAAAAGCTTTAAAACACACCACAGCACCATCAAGATGCATCAACCAGATGATCTCGTTGTGTGTTTGATTCAACCAGACTTCATTGAAACATTGAGAAAAACAGAAGATGGATATTCAAAGCAATTCTGTGTCAAGTCGCTTGACGATGGCGATGCTTTGCATGTCACGGTGCAAGCCATTCCTGGAGGACAAGACGCAGGCAAAAACCAAGTCGCATACGAACTGATTGAAAGTTTTCCGAAAGAAGAGAAGGAAAC